GATCATGTACCACCATTTTTTGAGTGAGATTTATTTTGGAGATACAAGATTGGTGCAATGTCTGCAAATTAATAAATGTAATACACCACATAAACAAAATGAAGGATAAATATCACATGATCATATCAATAGGTGTAGAAAAAAGCATTTCATAAAATCCAACACCCATTTATGATAAAAAACAAACAAACAAAAAAAACTCTCAGGAAACTGGGAATAGAGAGAAAATACTTCAACATAATAAAGACCATATATGACAAAAACTCACAGTCAACATCATACTCAATGGTGAAAAACTGAAAGTATTTTCTGTAAGTCCAGGAATAAGATAGAGATGTCCACTTTCACCACTCTTATTCAACATGGTTCTAGAAGTCCTAGCCATAGCAATCAGACAAGAAGAAAAATAAAAATTATCCAAATTGGAAAGGAAGAAGTATTATTGTTTATAGATGACATGATACTGTATATAGATAATTCTAAAGATTCCACCAAAAAACTACTGGAATTGATAAATATATTCTTTAAAGTGGCAGAATACAAAGTAAACATTCATAAATCATTTGTATGTTTACACTTTAGTAATAAACAGTCAGGAAAGGAAACTAAGAAAACAATCCCATTTAAAAATTCATTAAAAATACCTAGGAATAATTTAACCAAGGATGTAAAATACCTGTTCTTAGAAATTACAAGACATTGAAGAGAGAAATGGAAGGAGATACAAATATGTGGAAGCATAGACTGAGTTCATGGATTGGAAGAATTATCATCATTAAAATGTCCATACTACCCAAAGCAATCAATAGATACAATACAATTCCTATCAAAATACTAATGGCATATTTCACAGAACTAGAACAAATACTGCAAAATTTTATATGAATCACAATAGCCACTGCAATCTTCAGAAGGAGGAACAAAGTTGGAGGAATCCCACTACCTGATATCAAACTATACTACAAGGCCATTGTAATCAAAACAGCATCATACTGGCATGAAAACAGTCATATAGGTCAGTGGAACAGAATAGAGAGCCCAGAAATAAACCCATTTGTTTATGGTCAATTAATATTTGACAAAGGAGGTGAGAACTTATAATGGGGTAAAGACAGTCTATTCAATATGTGATGTTGGGAAAATTGGACAGATACGTGCAAAAAATAATAATAAAGTAGATCATCTTCTTACACCATATACAAGAATAAACTCAAAATAGATTAAAGACTTAAATTTAAGGCTTGAAGTCAAAAAACTCCTAGAAGAAAACATAGGCAATAAAACCATGATGATGGTGATGATGACACAAAAACATCTCATACAGTTTTTGCTGTACAGTTTTTAGATTTTTACACACTCACACACAACAGATACATTTATTAACTGCATGGCATGATGGTTCTTTCTTTACTATTCATTAAGTGGAAGCGGATCATCACAAAGGTCTTCATCCTCATTGTCTGCACCTTGATAGGCTGAGGAGACAGAGGAGGGTTGATCTTGCGGTCACAGGAATAGCAGAGGTGGAGGAGGTAGAAAGGGAGGTAGCAGAGACAGGCAGACTCAGTGTTACTTGACGGAAACACGTCATAATTTCTGTTTGACTTTATTGCTTTTTAACTTATCTAAAAATGTTTCTATATGGTACCAATTGTTTGCTTTTGTTTCAAGTGTCTGTATCAAGGAAGGGTTCATGTCATAAAAGAACTCAAAAGCACTCTTGAATAACTGTAACCCTTCTTCCAGACTGGCTGATGCCACTTTGTTTTCCGGAAGTCCTCTTCTGCGTCTTCTTCCTCATTGCCTGGCACTAGTCCTGAGGCTCATCTTCATCAAGTCGTCTCCTGGTGATTCCTCCAGCTTACTCTGGTGGCAAGCGGACAATTTGACCTTTTAGTGTTGAGCTCCTAGGGTTCTTGATGTCCAGGAGCACTGCCCAATATCAAAATAACTTTAAAGGCAGTCACTTACTGGCAAGGTAATTTTTGACTTCACGGACAAAGCATCAATGGAACCAGTCCAGAGAAAGGATTCTCATTGTCCAGGCCTTTTGTTCAACCAAAAGCCTAACAGCTGGTGTTTGTCTTTTGCCTTTAAGGCTCACAGGTTAGCAGCTTTATAGATAAGGGCAATCCTGGCCATATACCAGGCTACATTTACACAGACGGTAGAGTTGGTCTATTCCCTCCTGCCTCAGATCCTGTTGCTGGCTTCTCTTCTTCACTTCCTTACAGATAAATGGCCCTTGTGGCTGTTTTTTCTTTTTTTGGCAGAAGAGGGAATGTTCATCTGCATAAAAAACCTGGTCAGTCAAATATTCTTTCTCCTCTGTGATTTTCTTAATGGCATCTGAGAACTCATCTGCTGCCTTTTGGTGGGCACAAGTTGCTTTTCCTTTATCTTGACATATTTTTTAAAGCCAAACCTCTTTCTAAAATTATCAAATTGGCCTTTGCTGGCATAAAATTTTACAGCTTTAGATCCTTTACCTTCCTTTTGCTTTAAGTTGTCATACAATGACTTTGTTTTTCTTTCTAATCATGTTTGAGTCTGTATGTGTGCTTTGCTTATAGCAATCCTGCACTCACAGGAAAGCTGCATTTTCAATATGGGATTAAAAGGCATTTTGCAAAAAGTGCAAGGCTTTCCTACCTGCTGGCATAGCCATTGTGACAGCTTCATAAATTTTCTATTTTTACAGTGTTCCTTATGCTGGATTCATTTATCTTGAAATGGTGGGCAACAGCAGCTGCAGACCTCAACCTATGTTACATATTAAGCAATTCAAATGTTTCTGGTAACATCAAGACTTTCCTTTGCTCCTTTGGAGCACTTTCAGAACCACTAAGGGTACTTCCAACGAGTACTCTGGTGTTACTCAAGGTTTGTGACATTGCACTAACCATGAAAAGATACAAGAAGCCCAAGAGGTCCCTTTTTACTACATACACCATTTACTAGAGAGAATTACTCATGCAGAGATGATTAATGTCACAAGGCATTTTAAGCATACCCTGGAAACACTGTGTTCATCACAACAGCAACAGGAGAGGGCTACAAAATTATTACAGTACTACACAGTATATACTCTAGCTGTGGCTTCATTCTGCATTTTTTCATTTGTTTACAATGACTAAAATGACTGTGAATGACTCCATGTATGGTCTGTGTTTTGGGCATAAGTTTTGATAACTTTTAACTTTTTTATAATAGATGTGTGTCTATTTTATGGTAGTAAATGACAAACTAGATTAGTATCTACATATATCATATACATTTATGACATACCCAACTTTCTCTTATTTTTTTCAATAGTTCTAGGTTACATGGTTTGCCTGTGAATTTTTAAAGCGTCACAAAACATTCTCCAATATATTTATTTTTAAAAACCTGTATATAGTTGGACCTGCACAGTTCAAACCATGCTGTTCAAGGGTCAAGTGTTTATTAAAAGAAACTTAAAGTCATGTCAACCAAAAGTGCAGATATTTTTGGATCCTGATTTTAACTGACCCAAATTCATAAGTCATTTATGAGACCATTAAAGAAACAAGACCCTCACTGATATTAAGATATGATTATGTCTGTGTTATTTAAGCATCATTATATATCTTGAAATACTTTCAGGTGAAATGATATGATGTCTGGAATTTGCTTCAGAATTATGGTTGGTGGGGGGGGGGGGAGAGTGGTGGAGTTGAAAGTGAAGGAACATTTATTTTTATTGGAGTTGGAAAGTAGCCACATAGCTTACTTTTATGTATGTTTGAAAAATTCCATTTTATACTAATTTAAAATTCATGTCCCTGGGTCCCATCTCAGCACTATTGAACTGGATGATCTGAAAGAGATTCTAGGAATATGCATTATTAACGAGTACCAAAGTGATTATTATAAAAACTAAGATTTGGGAAACACAATTCTAAAATAATTTATCCCATTGCTCTTGGTGTTTTCAAATACAATCAATTACATACACATGTCATATCTTTAAAGACAGAAACTGTGTCTTGCATCTCCCAAAGCCATATATTTTGCATATATTCAATAAATATTAATTATTTTAGTCAAAGTATTTATTGTTGTTCACTGTGAATAAATATTTTAGGTCTAGATTATAGAAAACTTACCCACATATTCCAATATCTTGTCCCTTTGACCTCAGGAGTGTACACCTTCTCACAGCAGTTAGCAATAATCCTCTGGCCATGAGGAACGTGGAATTTATTTCTTAAGGGCACTATTTAAAAGTCTTAATTCCTAAATGCCAATATTTCCATACCTCATTCAGCCAAGATAAAATCTAACAGGATGGGAACAATAGCCTCATCTTTCACAGACATATTAAAATAGAGAATATGAGCAGCCATGTGTAGGAACTACACTCTTACACACAGGCAATACACATACACACACACACACACACACACACACACACACAGAAAAAGAAATGAAATGTTTCCACCTGCCATTACCCCTCAGTAAAGTTTTGCCTGAGTTTTTTGTTCTTTGCAGTAGTTCATTTATTAAGTAACTACTTTGATTCTTCTAAGAGTGTTTTCTTGGGAAAATGTAACCTTTTCTTCAAAATGATTTTTCCCAAAGACCTACTATTCACTATAGGTACACCTTGGAACTCTGGAAAGAACTCTGTAACTGACTCTGTCCTGTTCTGTCCAGTTTGTAGTTCTACCTCTACTGGCTAGGTGATATTGAATATGGCACAATTTTTGTTGGTTTCTGGTTTCTCCATCTACATAATTCTAAAATAAATGTCAGCCTACTCTTAGATCATCTCTAAGTTCACCTATAGTTTTATGCTACTTCTAGGAAAATTATTTCACTAATATTTAAGTAGAAAACACAACTTTTAGGAAAAAGAAGATATAAAATGGTTTCACCTTGGCATCTTAGAGGATACTAAATAAGGTCAAATGAATGTATTCTGTTCTGAAGGTGTAAACACAGGAATATGAAGGATTTCTCCCACTTTTGCTTACCTGCTTATGAGCATGGTCATACGAATTAATATGATTATCAAATTCCTGGTGTTTGTGATACTGCTTGTCACATAATTCGCAGTAAAAGTTCGCCTTTACATCCTCCAGGGCCTTTGCTGTGGACTTCTCCTTTTCTGGAAAATCCTTTGAAAAGCAAAAAAATAAAAATAAATAAAGCAAAAGTGTTGATTATATTTCTCTCTACTAGCATAACCAGATATCATATTATTCAAGTTGGTATTTAATTTTATTGTGACTGAAATAATACAGTTAGGTGTATTATCTTTTGGAAATCCATGGCACTAGGGAAGTAACTTTCAATTCAGCCTTATTCCTAAGTTATCAATAAACATATAGTCAACTGTCCTCCACTGAAGTCTGGTCATTATCTTCCCTCTTCTGGCCACCCATAACCAGCTTGAGCTTCTGCTAACTCACCGGACTGAACACTCACCACCAATTCTCCTGCCTATCCAGTGACCCCTCTCAAACACTACAAAACCTCTCTATTACAATATTTTATTGGGACATTCATTACATTGCATTTATCATTCCCTTGTGTGTCATGTATTTTAGCCTCACAGTTGGTGCTTGCTATTGTCACAGCACATAGTGCTTTTCCTATCTTGTTAAAGTATGAGCTTGTACTCCTTTCCCAACACCCAGCTCTTGGCCTGCTCTGCGAGCCTTTCCATGACTTTTCCAGGACAAAGCCTCCATTATGGTACTTATTACCTAACACATCTATGAGCATTCCCACTTGTCTCTTTAATAGACATTTCTTTCCTACATATGACCCCTTACATTTTGTGTGCCACACAGTTTCATCTTTAGCCAACTGATTATTCAATCTACACATACTCTCTCTTGGTGACCTCCATTCACATTGTAGCTACAGCCTTATTTATCTATAAACTCCAACTCCAGCCTAAGTGCTTTCCACAAGCATCAGGTCCTGATAGACATCACCAATGAGCTTATCACATTTTTCAAGACCAACCCTACGATTCTGACTGTGCTTTATCTTAAACAGAGCTTTGGCCACATCATTCCACTACTCAAAATTCTCTTGCATAGTGATGAATACTTGTACATAAACTATGTGCCAAGTAGTAGGCTGAGTATGTGAATTATCTCATTTATTCCTCATAAAACTCCTATAAAAATAAGTTTTGTCTAAATCTACATTATACAGATGCATCAACCAGTGCTTAGAGAGATTACACACTCCTGGTCACTGAGTTAGTAAGTGGATTTGAATTCAAATACTCTATCCCTAGCACCCATGGTATAAACAGCTGTGCTTTACTATCTCCCTTTAAGGCCAATCCCCTTACAATACCACACAAGCTTCTTCCTACCTCATCAGTGTCCTCTTGTATTAATTCATGCACCCATATTGCCCTCTTTAATTCAATTACTCGACATGCCACATGATGATCGATTTTCATGTCTATTGCTCTCATAAATCCTTTGAAGACAGAAACTGCTTTATTCATTTTTGTGTCTACAATGCCAATATATTGTTTAGCCCAGAATGGGTGATTATTTAATATGCATTACATAAATTAATGGATTATGGTGGCTTACGTATTCATGCCCCCTATCATTCTGCAAGTTCTCTATTACCTCAGTGCTTAAATAAAAAAATGACTGGCACACAGAGGATACAAATAAATATGTATAGAAATGAATGGACACAATAAAAGATGGGTTTTGGCTTTGTTTTTCCAAAATGATTAACCCTCTATAAAAATAAATGTGGCCATAAACCTATATCATAGGGGCATCACTGCCCCTATGACAAGAAAGCAAGCATAAAAAATTTAGGCAGTTTCTCACAGAGTTGGGTGAAGCAATGGAAAATTAATTCATTGTGACCAGGAAAAATGATTCAAGTGCTAATATAAGAGGCTAACACATATGGTAAAGAGCATGAAGGGCATGCATACAATTAACAAATAGCAAGACTAAACCAAATATCTGGATTGCCTATCGAAAATAGTCAAAGTAGAAATTTGGTTAAATTCTAGCTAATGGGAGTGGGGATAAAAGCTATTGGACAGGATATATTCACTGATGAGAATAAGCACTCCAATTTCAGGACTAAAACCCAATTACTCAAAAAACTGGGGTTATGGCCTTCTAGTGTAGCCATTGTTGAGAAATGAGGCACAATTATAGCATTGAAGTAGAGCTAAATCTCTTGATTTGGTAGGCTTAGAAACAAGGAAAACCATTATTTTTCATTCAGTCATTCTCACTAGAATTTTTTTTTTCATACTCTTTCTTAGTATAATTTCAGGGACTAGATTGGAATAAGGAACTACTTTGGTTTACCTATAGTTTTTCTTACTTTATTATAACCCTGAAACAACAGCCTGAGGAAACTGACTATATGTATTGGATATAGAGCAACTCTGCCCCAGTGCTTTAAAACGTCTCAGTTTTATTAATGGGGTGTGGGGTAGCAACTACTAATTCAGAGTGAATCTGTGGTTAAAATGGATTTTCATAGTATTACAGATTATAATGACAATTTATGATAATAGCTCAGTGGTCCAGGAGTGAAGCTTCTCTAGTTACTCTTGTTATCTTCATCTAGATATCTTTTATTTCTAAAACATCTTTTTATTATGACATTACATGCCTCTCAATAAAAAATGTTATGAGAGTTCTACCAACATTTTAGTCATGTATCATCTCCTCTGAGTGTCTACATTTTACAAAATCGTCAGTCTAAATTACATACGCCATTTCTTGCTTCATTTTTCTTGACAGGACATGGTGCTGTTATACCCATTTCTCTTTCTTCTGAGAAATATTGATACTTTTCAGGGCATATCCTAGTTCCCTTATTAAGAGAGCAAGAATGCACAGGTGGGATATAAATGCCATTAGCGAAACATAAAGTTAACAGTCAGTGTATCCATTGAAGCCAGAAGAGCATAAACCCAACAGCATGTGACTGGGGACAAGAAATGGGGAAGCTGAGAGTTGTGGGGAGAAATGTCAGGCAGAGGAGAATACATGCCAGGAATTGCATAGAGCTAGAGGAGTCATAGTGGAAAATAATAAATGAGTCCTTAAGAATCTTTGGCAAAACTTGAAAACTGGGATTAGAGCTAGAACTGAGTTACAGAACCATAATCCAAATGGTCATGATATTACTCAGTCTGAACAGACTTGTACTCCAGCATGTAATTGGACTATCAATGGAGAGGGAGCTAAATTGGTTCAGCTGTATGTACCAGAAGGCTAGAGGCTAAGATCTCAGACTAGTAGAAGGGGTATCATGTAGTCTAAACCTATCATTTAGCAAAAAAAGACAAATGATGTTAGTAACATCATGACTGGTATAAAATCAGGTCAATAGTAAAGCAGGGCACACTTTTCATTGTATTATGCTGCCTCATCCACACAACCATTCATCTATTCTTCTAACCATTAAGCAGTCACACATTCAAGAATATCTTGTTAAGCAACTTCTGAATGTCAATTTCTTACTTGGCCTTTACCTTAGAATTTTACAGTTTAATATCGGATAATTACATGTAAAGAGGTAAACACTGAAAACTGTGATAGAGTGATAACTATGTTACTGTTAAGTTTACCTAGTTCATACTGCTTAAGAATACTTGTTTTGCCCTTGCCAGTGTCGATTCCTAGTCAGGGGCACATACCTGGCTTGCAGGTTTCCTTCCTGTCCTGGTTCAGGCCATGCAGTAGGTAACCGATTCATCTCATATCCATCTCTCTCTCTCTTTGTCTCTCTCCCCCTCCCTCCCTCCCTTCCACACTCTAAAAATCAATAGAAAAAATATCCTTGGGTGAAGATTAACAAAAGAAAATTGTATTTTATATTCCACAACCCCCCCCCCAAATAGCTGAATAAATAAACAAACAAACAACTCATAGAGTCAAACAACAGATCAATGGTTATGTCAAAGGAAGTGGGGTGGAGGGAGGGTAAAATGAGTGAAGGGGGTCAATTGTATGGTGATGGATGGAAACTAGACTTTAGGTGGTGAGCATAATATAGTATGTACACATGTCAAATTATAATGTTTCACACCTGAAAAATATAATTTACAAGCCTATGATAACACAATAAAAATAAATGGAAAATAATAAAAAATTTGTTGGAAAAAATTAGTTTTTTAAAAAATAATTTTTCTTTATCGATTTTAGAGAGAGAGAGGAAGGGAGAGGGAGAGAGATAGAGTCATCAATGAGACAGAACATCAATAGGCCACCTCCTGAATGCTCTACACTGGGGATCAGGCCCACAACCCGGGCATATGCCCGGACTGGGAATCAAACTGGCAACATCTTGGTGCACAGGTTGACGCTCAAACACTGAGCCACGCTGGCTGGGCAAGGTTTTTTTTCCCATTTGTTTCTTTTACCCATAGCATCAGATACACAGTTTGAAAAACTCAGAATTTCTTGCTTTTTTTGTTGAATAACAGGATACTTTAACTGGCTGAATAACCTTAAAGGCAAATGAAGGTGCTATTTACTTTCTGAAATAATTACCCAATCTCTAAATATATTTAGAGATATGGAGTAAATATAAAAGGAATAAAAAATATCTACCTATTTTTAGTATTCATATATTTAAAAATAAAAAACAAATAAATGATTCACAGTAATAATAGACATAGGAGATAGTATCACCATGATTTACTGGTTATTCAAAGTTCTCTTCTAACATTTGCCTATGAAGATGAAGAACCTTATTTAACAGAAAAAAAAAAATTTATAAAATAGAAAAAAATTTCTTGCTAAACATTCTCAATGATTCATTAAAAGGTTGAAAATAAATTAAAATTGAACATGACAGTTATCTTAATAAGAGTCATTTTTCAAACAGTAGGTATTGCCAGTGTGCATTTTATGTTGCAGTTCAGTAAGAATTCTGTAGTAATTAATTACATTTCATAATTAATATTTTGGGTGCAAGGACAGAAAATACACTTTTACACACCAAGAGTTTTACATTCATGTATATAATAAGTACATCTGTAAAGTGCCATGTATTCTGACGAGAGTAACACGTTTAAAAATATGGATGTTTACTACCAAATTATTTTTATTATTGTAATGATGCTTACACACAGCTACTGAGCTCTCTCGGAAAC